TATTCATTGAGTGGGGGGGGGGGGGGAAATCAATGGTATGCTAGCATTTGCTACCTTGTGCTAGTGAGACTTTACCACAGTGACGTGCCTATAATGTTACTATTGCCACTTCCTTAAGGAAAGCAGTATTAAAATGTCAGAGGACTTCCTAAGAAAAGCAAAAAGAAGGTAACAGTGGGTTATTTACCTAGCAATAAAAGTATGTATGCATATGTACATGTACACACATGTACCTTTCTCCAGCTAAGAGGTATTTCAGTGTACTGTAAATAAATGAACTCTAGAAAGAACAAAAAAACCAAGGTGCGCATTTGACATATTTGAAAAGATGGACTAAACCATTAAGTGTCTTATACAGTCAACCAGCATTGCTATTAAAAAAAAGTAATTATGCATTCTATCTTGCAATGTTTGCAGCCTTGATCACTTGCCAAGAAACTCAAAGATCAAACTCAGGTTCTGCAACAAATTGTGTAATTTTGTATTTATACATATACGTGAGATTTAAGGAAGAGTTTTAGCTTTGAAAATTTGTCCAAAGTTACAGAATTTTAAAGGTATTTTCTGTGTAGCCAGATTACTACTTAAACATCTGCTTTAACAGGACTTTCTACACACAGCTGATCCCAGTATAAAAGGCAGATAACACATATACTTCATCTAAAGTGACTAGCTACTGTGTAAGAATCTCTCTCTCTAATAAAAGTAACCAAAGTGCCAAAACACTACACAGGTGTGGAATTCTTTTTCCTCTACTCTTTCTTTAGTAAGAAGATAAGAGTAAGCTCATTTATATTATCCATGTGAAATACACAGCCGTTCTTGATAATATATGAAATGACATTTGGAAGAAAAATTCAAATGCAAAAATACTGTAGCATCATACTGAAAAGCTTAGCATCACCAAAACTTAAATGTTGCCTTCTGTATATGAAAGACCTTAGTAACATTAAGTTTTGCAGTTTTGTTTTTTAAACAATTACACATTTAGGTCACAAAACCAACTGGGAAAATATCTAAAAGAATCAGAGAAAAGATTAAAATTTGACTAACCATTGTCAATGACTATTTTTAAAAGCCTGTATTGTCCATTTCTGGCTCCAACAAAGGTGTCTTTAACACTTCCACTAGCTGAAAAAGAGAAAATATAAGTAACCAAATTAACACATTTCACTTCCCTAGAACAAAGAATATTCATGAAAGTAAGAACAACACTGGAAAAATGTACATCTGGCCCCTCACTACAAAGTTGGACTGAAAAAGGAACACAGGAGTGATGTTCCCTCTATGCTGCATACTGTTCCAGCCACTGGCATGCCACAAAAAGATGACAAGCAACATTATGAAATAGCCCTGCTTTCTAGCACACCGTATGATTTTCAACATTGTGAAAATTAAAGGTGACATCACATCATTATTCTCAGGTTTCAGTGTTAACACAGCAACACAATAAAAATATGACGCATCTCAAATTACAATAGCTTCATGAAGTCTGCAGTCTTAGTACAAACTTTCAGACAGAAACTTTACGCCTGCCAGGAAAATGTTAGAGCTTGTCTGGCAAGAGTGCTGGTCTTTCCTAAGGACACGCCTCTGAAGAGTACCAGTGAAGGCTGCCACTCATTGCTCATCTTTCATACCACCTTACCTCTTTCTATGTATCTTGATGGCACTGTTCAAATCCCAACCTAGCACAACAGGATAGCTTTATAATGAATTTACAAAGAAGTAACTTAAAAATATTTTAAAACATCCATAATTCACATTGACACTACACCGCAAACATGATAGACTCAATTCCCTAAGCACACTGAAGAACTGTGCTTGAGTCATGGGAAGATCATTCTTATCTCAACTGCTTTGCTAAATAACCTGAGTGCAAATCAGTTTAATTATACTGTAGACAGGGGGTTGTACAGCATTTATCAAAGAACATTTAGTGCAAGCTGGTCCTTTAAGTAATCCTACAGCATGCAGCATAGCACCAGCAAAACAAACATCAAACCAGGAAACAAATAAAATGGATTATTTATAGTCAGGTTGAGGCCAACTGAACAGATGGTCAGATGGTATCCAGCAACATTACTGTCCATACGCAAAACATTTTAAATTTATGCCCATCGAAGTGATGCCCAGGCCCATTCTGAAATTCCAAAATGATGTGGGAGGGAAAGGGGGTGTTAAACAAACTGAACTGCATTGGGTTACCAGTCCAACCCCAGCTTCATCCCAGTTAGCATCTTCCTGCTAACGAGTACAGACCCTCACTGTAATCTGCTGCCAGGTTTTCTAATTGTCTCTGCTGGTCCTCACCATCCCATTCAGCATGCAAATGCTGCACCACTTTCTAGACCTTTCGGTTCCCCCAGGACTTTTTTTTGTCCTCTTCTTGTCTATTACGTTTTTGTTCTTTGTTCTCTCATTTCAACCCTACACACCAAAACGAGACCAAAATGCAGCAGTCCCTGCACCAATACCAGAACTGTGACAGCTCCTGAAGTAACATTTTGAGACAAGACATTTGAGAAACCACCTCACTATCAAGTGATCTATGCTTTTTTTTTCTCATAAAGGTTTTAAAATTCACAAGAGAGCAATGTGATTTTCTACTTAAACTTTCTGCATAGCAGAGACCTACAGAATTAAAATTTGAGTTTATTTCACAAATATTTCACAGGGAATATTAATTTTAAATTTAGAAGACTGTGAACATATTCTAAGTGTATTCTCCCACAGCTCAACGCATTCTGCAACTTCCTATGCTATTTATCTGCACTGGCCTGTTTGAAAGTCCAGTCCTTTTAGCAACGGCCTGGTACATATCACTGTCCCCATGACTTCATTTCTGTTGCCAGAAAAGAGCAGCCCATGCTGCCAAATCTTGGAATTGTTTATGAGTGACAGTAGCCTGTTTGTAGCTAAAGCCAGCAGTGGCACAACAAGTGCTACTGCTCTTCCAAATTGCAGAAGCGGATGCTTTGCTGCAAGCAGGACTCCTGATTAGTGCCTTCCGAGTTCTCTACAGCTCTCCTCAGAGGACAAAAGATTCTCAAAGACATGAAGGAGAGCAACAGAAGAGGCTCAGCCACTTTTCTTGCTTGTGGTAAGCAACAGGATATTCTTCTGCTCCTCCCTCCAGCATTGCCAGGAGAGAGAACAAGGGAATGAAGAGCCACTGTAACAGTTTTCCCCAGCCTGGAAAAAAAAGCTATCTCAGACGCACCTCTCGCCTGAGAAGGGTTGAAAACTTAAGACAAGAAGCAGCAAAAAAAGAGCAAAAATTGGCATGCGGGAAAGGAAAAGAAGAGAGGCGAAAGGGTGCAGACCAAATGCAGCCGATGGACAAAAAAGGGAACAGAAGAGCAGTTAAGAGCTGCTGTGGCTGGGACAAAAGTCACCTTCAACAATAAATATGGGAGAGCAGGCAAAGTACACGGTACTAGTCACCGAACAAGCAGACCGCAGAAATCGAGGCAGTAAAACCCGACACCCGCCCCCCCCCCCATAATCCTGCAGTATAATCCCTGCTTAGCAATTCTGTGATGCGGGGGGGACCCGGTAATACTGAGAAACAATACGCTGCCGTCTTCTAATTGCTCCTCGCCCCCCTCCAAGGCCTGGAAACATGAGCAAAACAAGGATCCCCCCCCCCTTTTTCCCCTTCGTGGCCTCCAGTGATGGGCTCTTCAGCGGCCTTCCCTGCCCCGGGGCTCCTGGTTCTCCTCAGGGCTCCCGTCCCAAACGGACCCAGCAAAACGACCCTCGGCGTTTCCCACCCTGTCCGACCCATCCCATCCCATCCCAAACCCGCCTGCGGTGACCCCCAGGCAGGGGACAGCTTCTCCCAAAGCCGGGAAAGGCGGGAGGTGCCCGGGGAAGCCCCCACCGGCCCCGGTTGTCACCTCAGGACTCGCCCCGCCGCAGCAGGACAGCCCGCGCTCGGGGAAGTTACCTGAGGAGAGGGGGGCCGGGGAGGGGGGGGGGCTGCTCGCCGTTTATGGTTTTTTTTACAGTGAATACTTTCCTCAGGCGGGCTCCCCACCGCTCGAAGGCGGACAGGAGCGGTTAGCCGTGCGAATAAACCCCGCGAGTCCTCGCCTGACTGGGGACGAAGCTCTGGGTTCGAGC